GTCAGTTTTGTAAATGCTCTTGCATCCCATTTATGCGCGCCTGCGCTCTCGCCCGCGCTCTCTCTCTCTCGCTCTCTCGCTCTGCCCTTCCTTTTTGGCAGTCTCTCGTTGAGTGTAAGTGGGGTTGGGCTGCCTGAAATTCGCCGCAAAATTGTGCCCAAATAGGGACAGCTTTTGGTGACAGGGGAAATGAAATACTATAAAAAAAAGGGAATTTTTTGTATTTGTTGTTTTCAGCATGGTTTACGCCTGCGCTTACTCTCAGAATTTCTGTTGTCTGTGCTGCACGTGCAATATTACACATGTGTTCGTTTCGCTCTTTCCCCTGACATTTGCCGGCCGCTGTAGCTTACACACACACACACACATATACCCAGGCATGTATGTATGTATGTAGTTGAATGCATGTCATTGTCATTGGTCTCAAGCACACGCATTGTGAAGGTTATCAAGCTATAAGAAAAGTTCATAGCCTGCGCCTTTGGCTCTTGCAAAGGGTATTATGCCAAGCAGCTTAAGCAAGAACAAAATGCCATTTCAGCTGCAATATATGTATGTATATATATGTATATGTAAGCATGTGTGTATGTGTGCGCCTGGGTATGTAAGGAGGGAAAGAGATAGCTAGATCTAGCTTTTGCTTAGATATTGCCGATTTGATGTACATATGTACAGTTAAAGCAAAAGAACCATGCGACAGGCACATCCAGGAAATAAACAGTTGTTGTTTTTACTTTTATCATTTTTCAATTTGGGCCCAAAATGTGTAATGTTCTTGTAACGATATACAATACAATCGATTACTGTCGATGTATCGATTACAACGACAGATATGACTGCATTTGTGTGTGTGTGTGTTTACAACTTAATTAGCCCGTTTGCGGGAGAGTGTGTGTGTGTGAGTGTGAGTGTTGAGGGAAGCGGAAGGGGGTTGGCTTAAAGGTTAAAGATTTAACTTTATTTTGTGTAATGGAATAGTTTACTTAAACTGAGCATTTCGAATATTTTAGACACTTTCGTCTATTTATTGTATTTTTTCCGTTTATGTTGCCTGATAAGATAAAACCAGAAAACGAATTAAACAAAAGTGCTCCAGTTGTGTCTGACCGACTAGCAGATACCCTATAAACAGCATCGAGTTGTTTAATATGCACATAGAAGTATATATAAGAACGCACATACACATACACACACACACACACACACACACACACACACACACACAAAGAGAAGCTGCTTACTTAATAGCGTGCTTCTTCCTGAGATCCCTCACTATTGTAAATACAGTCTTAAATAACTTCGGTATTTGTGGTCCGATCTCTATGATATTTTCAGAATCTAAATATGGCAAGCAAATGAATATAGATACCAAAGCGGAAGGCTCTACCTTAAACAATTTTCTAGGTGGGAATTGGCGATGGTTTTAATGAGCTAAAGATAAAAGTCATCGATAATTATCGATATCGATATATCGAAAGCAAACTTATTGCTGTGCATTATATAGAAGAATATACATTTAAAATTCAAAGTCTTCGACTCAGCTCCGTCGACCTGATCAAGAATATGTAAAAGCATACTTCATGGGGTCCGAGATGCTTGCTTCTGCTTGTACATACATTTGCATAAAAGCATTATATCCGTTCTCTCATGGGTACAGGGTATACGATTATGAACGCAACATTGACGCAAAAGTTTTTTTCCATCAAAGGTTTGTGCGAGGCCTACGTAATTGCCCGAAAAAAAGGCACATATCTAACCATGACCATAATTTGATAAGAGCCAGATAAACGAACTATGTTATTAGAATTGCACACACACACACACACACACACACACACTAGCGTGTGTTCAGATACAAGCATATATCTATTTTATCTTGGAACATGCAATTTGTCAAGACAATAGACGAGTTCAGATGCGTTTTCGGAATAAAACAAAACAATAAAAAACTATCAAAAAATGACATCATACGCAAGGACAGAGCTCTCAGTGGTATTCAGAAAGAAAGAACGTAAAACATTAAAAAAAAATTGTTGAATAATCGAATATAAAATAAAATAAAATATATATAAATAATCAATCATAATTGAGACTTGCTTAACACAAATTATTTTTAAAGAATTTTGAATTATTTTGTATTCCTAAATGAAGCAAATGAAAAGCCCATTTATATCTTTCTTGAGACTTTCTACGAATTTAACATTTGTTTCAATCTCAGGCTTCAGGAAAAGTTTCCGAACTAATAAATGAAATTATTTTCTAACCTCTTTACGATTGTTCTTAATAATCTTTTCAGTTTTCTGTTTCATGTAGATTAATAGATTTATTTGTTTAATGTTTCAAAAGGATATGCAAAGGATATATAAAGGATATGCAAAGGTAAAATGTCGAATACTTTTTTTAAGTTCTACCACAATTCTTTCCAAGGCTTTTTAGCTCGACTATCTCCAATAGTATAAAAATATATTTAGAATTATCATTAAAATCTTTCAGTATTTTTTCATTCTAGGCTTGATTTCGGAATCTAAAATATGTGCCAAAACTCAAGTAAAACGTATTGGGCTAAGGAGAAAGGAAATGCAAATAAGTTCAGCTCGATGGGGATTACGTGGACCCTGACAGAGCCGCGCACACTTATCATTTTATTTAGCCAGCAACAATGTGACCAATTGTACTTCATATTGACATTGGTCAACTAATCGTAAGGCCCATAGCTGATAAGATTTGCCAGCAATAATGCGGAATGCGGGTGCCGGGGGGTGGTAAGGAGGTAGAGTGGGGCAGCTGTTGCCTAATCACATGAGGTTCTCATTGCAAAGACCCAAAGCCAAAAGGCAGCCCATAAAAAAAATGATAAAACACTGAAATACCGTTGATAAGAGCCGATTTACAGTGCTTGTGGCCGCAGCTGGTCAATTGATTTTGCCGGGGGCGGGGCAGGGCCAGGTGCGGGTGCAGGGGGGAGCATTACCTAACACTGAAACTTGACGATCGCTGCATGTGACATAAGTCAAGAGTTCTTTGGGACGAGATGCCGGAGGAGGGCCAGGGCGGCCCGAAATGTGTTTCAATTCACGATCTACGCCCAAGTGTTGCCATATTTGTGGCCAGCACTGTAAAGCTCATTTGGGCGGCGCTTTCAAGAGCTTGCGCTTGACTGTGCCAAAGCTTTTACACTGCTGGCAAAATGCTAAAGGTTACGTGTGGAAAACCTGCAAACGATTCAATTTTAACATTTGTGACTAGCTTCTAAATTATTTGATTAAATAGGGAACTGATAAACAAATAAAGATTGACTTGTTGAGTTTATTTTCTATCAAACAAAGTTTACTTTGGGCTGCTTTGCTATTTGCGGAACTGGTTCGGTTCACAATAGGCAAACGAGCTAGTTCGAATTGGAACCTTCTTAGTTCAGTTATAAGCTTTGAATATTACGAACGTATATCTACATATGAGCTGTTCATTTATTTGCGGAACTGGTTCGGTTCACAATAAGAAAACTGAACTAGTTCCGATTCGCAGCAGCTCACTTGAGCAAAAAGGAGTATTTAATAGTATAGTATAGTATTATATTGCCACATAAGAAAACACATTTCCCATATTTTTTTTTATATATATAATATAGAAGTTTTACTAAGAGTTTATTTCCTTATAGAGCTGTTTTCAGAGAAATTCGACATAAAGAAAATATTGTTAATATAATTTTGTTTTTTTTTTTTTTGTTTTGTTTTTGTTTAAGAAATGCACACAGTGGAAGTTCCGAGCGCTAATACCCAAAGTTCATAAGTATTATCCACTCATGAATATATATATAAATATATATATATATATATTTATATATATATATATATATATATATATATATATGTGTGTGTGTGTGTTTATGTGTGTGCTCTATTGCCGGAATAAAAAAATAAAAATAAAGTACTACTGATCGAAAATTCAGTCAGTGGAGCACCGAAATCTATATAGACATAGGTATATATATGTATATATATATATAGATCAAATAGAATGCATGTAAAGAATATAATTAATATTATTTGTATGTAAAGTATATAGTTAATATAATGTTATATTTATTTTTTTTTTGTTTTTCTCTTTTCTCTCTCTCTCTCTCTCTCTCTCTCTCTCTCTCTCTTGGTCTGTCTCCGTTTTCTCACTCATTCTCTATGACTCTCTACTCTCTTGGTTTTCTGAAGTTCCTGTCCAGCAGTTGTCCAAAGCGCATATAGAACTATATATTTTTTGTTATTTTTTGGGTTTTTGTTGTTGTTGTTGTTGTTTTTCATATCTTGGTGGATCAGGAAGTGGCTTTAAGTTTATCTCTTTGCAGTAATGCTCATATCTAAATATATATATGTACACACATATATATTATACTTAACTATATATAGATAAGATACGCAATACACAAGTAATACATATATATGTATATATATATATCAATATATATAGTTTGTGTATTACGTAGCTTATTCTCTGAATATATACAACATATATATATTTGTATGTTTCTTTTTAAACAGTTTCTTAAATTGTTTTTATGGACTGCATCATTATGGAGTTTATGGATCTGGATTCGGTACCAATTCTATAATCGTTTTTTTATATATGTATATATTGTTATCATTTTGTTGTATATGGATATGTTCTGTAAATGGTTCGTTTTGGATTGTGACACATTTTTGTTATCGGAATGGAATTTTGTGATTTTAACTGACATTTTTGTAATTTTTCTTTTCGGTAGACATGCATAAAAAAGTGTGTACAAAAATTGTTTGCCTTTGGATCTTAAAAAAAGTATATATCAAAATTATATGAAAGAAAAAGGAATTAAAAAAATAAAATTATGATCTAGAAATAATAATGTTTAGGTAAACTTTCAACATGCACACAAGTTATGGAAGTATATATTATCTGTAGTATATATATATATATATATATATATAATATACAGATATAGTATATATATATATGTATACATATGCATATAGTATATAGTATATAGACATCTAGTAGGTATTTATTACATATTTAAGTTTTAAGATTTAGGTTTAATAGTTTCACCGCGTTTCTTACGCTTTGCTCAATATTTTATTCTTTTGTTTTTATATTATATTTTTATATATTACTTTTCATCTATCATTGTCTTCTTCTTCTTCTCTTTTGTGTACCTTCTTTGTTATAACTATTCAATTTTGTTGTATCTGTTATTTTTGTTTTGTTTAAATTGTATTTTAAATATCACGGCATTCAGCTGAGGTCTGATCTGATCTATATATTGATTTAAATGTGTTTTTTTGGGCATATTTTTATGTTTGTTTTTTTTTACATTTTATGCTTTCTGCATTTTTTATGGCTTTCTTTTTGCTATGCGTTTCGTTAACAATTATTTATATGCTGATAAAATAGTTGAGAATAATTAAAAAAAAAAAATAAACGAAAACTAATTGAACTAATTAATGCATTTTGATAAATGAACAGACAAGGGCTGCAAATGTCACTTAATGCCAGGATTAATCGTTCGCCAAAAGTTTCGAAGAGCGCATGTGCTAAGCTCAATGGCAGCTTTTAATGTGCTTATTGCATCGTGCTTTTAGTGTTGTAAAAAACAAGTGCATTTAAGTAGCTGCAAACAGTGTTGTTTAGCAAAAAATATAACATATTTGCGCTTGTTAACACTGGTCAATATTAATACTGCCCAGAGTTAGTTAAGCCTTTTCTTAAAGAAACCCATTTCTTTGTATTTAAAAAAAAAAAGGAATATTCCCTCTATTTCACTGAAAGAACAAGCGCTTTGTTGAAATAATTTCTCAATCCTTAAATCACATTAAAGCTCTGTAAATTTAAGCCTTTCATGTGCTTGACATTCGGTGATGCTGTGCGTTAATAAAATCAAGCAGGAAGCTTTTAATGAGTTTTTTTTTCAAATAGATTAGCTGATAGCTTTTAATGAGCTCTTTTCGATAGATTAAGTGAAAACGCAGCTTTTCAAGCAAGCAAAATTTTGATAATATACCTTTAGGCATGATCAGATAAAAGCAGAGGCTTTAAACTTGAAGTGAGCTTTATAGACAGCGCCCTTGGCCTAAGCTTTTGCAAATCATTAATGTGCTTTAAGAGCTCTTGTTGCAAGTCTAAGCAGAGCTTTAAGCTCGAGTTGAGCTTTACGAAATGAGAATTGCAGCAGCTGCAGCTTACTACTTACTCTCTTTGCTCAGTTAAACAACACTGCCTTAGCTTATGATTAATTCTATGCTTAAGTGACACTTGGCGCCGCATGTGCTTCGATACTTAACATAGAAATGATAGAACAAGCACCGTACACAGGGTGTGTGTTTTTTTTTTTTTTCTTGATTTTCTGTTTTTTTTTTTATGGGTTAGTTATTTAGTTAGGAATTAAGAAGGCTTCTTTAAGGACTTGTCGGCTGTGCTGCCGCTGCCGCTGCCAACAGCTGCCGCCGAAACCGGGCGCGCATTGAACAGTTGCGCACAGATGCGACGCAAATTGAAATTCTCACCGATCAGCGTGGCACGCTGCACAAAACGCACCGCCGACGGCCGCTGGATTAACTCTCACAAATTGGGTATGCCATCTGCGTCGGTGGCATCCGCCGGCCCGGCGCCATAGCCATCGATGGAGACCAGCGCGGCGCTCTCACTAAAATGCATTAGGTTCGTCTCCATCAGCCCGTTGCTGAGGCTCAGCGGCGGCGACGACTGCGATGCCGGCCCCTCCAGCGAGAGGCGGCTGTTGGTGCTGATGCTGCTCAGGCTCAGCTGATCGTCGAACACATCGATGTTCACCACGGTGGCAAGTTCGCCATCGATGCCCACCGCTGCGGTATTGTTGCACACTGGCTTACTGGGCAGCACTGGCAGCGGGTTGCCAGTTCCTGTTACAGTTGTTGTTGCTGCTGCTGTTGTTGTTGTTGTTGTTGTTGTTGTTGTTGGGGGTGGTGTGGTGCTCATGGGCTCCACATCAATTTGCTGCTCCTGTGCGGCATTTGCATTGGGATTGTTGCTCAACGTGTTGTTCAGCTTTTGCGACTTGTTGTTACCCTTGTTGGTTGCTGTTGTTGTTCCCGTTGTTGTTACAATCGAGTTGTTGTTATTGTTGTTGCTGTTGTTGTTGTTGTTGTTGTTGGCCAGTCCATCCATTTGATCAGTACCAAAAAAGTTGCCTATATATAAAAAAGGAAAGGCATTTAATAACGATATATTAACAATTGATATTATGCTATTGAAGGCACAGTGACAATTTGTTGGGAAATTTACATGTATTTGGCTTAGATAAGCCCACATACCAAATTTCGACTCTCTAGCCCTTATAGAACCCGAGTTCAATGGGCTTGTAGAGCTGAAATAGTCCTATATTGAGTTTCGGAGTTGACCTCAGCCGGTCTGTTGCCGGATAATGGCTTCTCTTTAAGAGATCTACATGATATAGTCATACGATCGGGTAAATAGAAGAATCCTATAACATATTTGAAGAGTATGGTCACACTGGAAGCCTTTTTCAGTCGGGTTCGTTCTACTATTTTAGAAGCTATACAATTTTGTGGCCTATATGCATGAGATCTATATGATATAGTCGAACAATTGGGTAAGAAGAATCTACTCCAAATTTATAGCGTACGGTCACACTGAAAGTTTAGGTCCTTACTTCTATTTTATAAGCTAAAACATTTCGTAGGCTAGTTTGCATAATTTCTATATACTAATGTCATATAATCGGGTAAAAAGAAGAATCTGTAACAAATTTAAAGAGTATGGTCACACTGAAAGCTTAGTTTCGTTAAGAAGCGTGGGTTATTTCCCATGCTTCTTGCATGCATTTATTACAGGGTATTTCTTAGCAATAAAAAACCCGATTTTTTATGGTAGTTTTAACTAAAATTGCATTTATTTAATTATACATATTTAATTTAATTAATTTTTAGTTCGATTTTGTTTTTCCTCAATGTTTTTTTTCTTTCCTTTTTTGCCATTTCGTCAGTTGAAAATCATAAATACTGCAAGTTATATGTACAAAAAAATATTTTGTTGTTGTTGTTGTTTGATTTATAATATTTCAAAAGCTTTGCCAAAGTTCTTTACAATTGAAAACGCAAAATTCTTATAATAAACGGGCAAAAAAAAAAAAATTGATTACATGTAGTTCATATTTTTGAAATATTTTACTCAATTAAAAAATAAATTAACACAGTGCATAAAAAAAAAGAAGGAAATAATAAAAAAAAAAAGTATTTTAAACGAAGCGCCAAAAATCGTAACAAGTTGAGTTTTATTTTTTTTTTTGTTTTTTTTTTTTTCGTTTTTCGTTCATCTTTTTTGAGAGCTTTTGGTTTGGGAAAAAAGATTTGTGTGTTGTTGTTGTTGGTCGGCGTTATAAAAACTTAACGAAAGCAGGTCTTGCACTCTGTGTAAATGCGGCTGCAGCTGCTGCAGAGAGCTTCTCCCACAACTGCGCTCAGCTGCACGCACAGCAATGCGCGCACACCCGCACAGCTGGACATGCGCGCAGCAACTAAATTATGAGAGCGAAGCTGTGTTCTCAACTGTGCTCTGTGTGCGTTCGTGTCTGTGTGTGTGTGTGTGTGTTCGTATATGCATGCAGCTGCACAGGCGCTGCTGCAGCGGATTACACAGAGCTTATACAAAGATTGTGGCATTGGACAGTTACTTTTTCTTTTTTCTTTTTTTAACAGTATTTTAAGCTGGATCTCTAGTTTGTTTGTGTGTGTGTGTGTTTGTATCTGTGTGTGAGCAATCAGTTGTTTTTTATACAATTTGTAATTTTCTTGTCAAATGTGTTTTATATACATTTTTTTAAAATTAGAGCATTTTTTGTTTTATGTTTTTTTTTGTTCTTTTTTAATTTTTTGTTTTGCATAATTCTCTTATATAATTATGTATATGTATATATATATATATATATATATATATATGTGTATATATATATATATATATTGAGTTTTTTTATTGCTAATAATATAACGTTTGCACTTAGAAATTGTTAGCATAATTTTTTTAAGCTTTTTTTTTTGTAAATTTAAACGAATTACTACAAACGCGCTTTTTTTTATTTTATTATTTTTTTTGTCAATAATCACATTGTTTTTTTTATGTATGTTTTTAGTATTTAAAAAATTTTTTTTTATGTTTTTGCACACTTTTACAAATTGGGCTATATGTGTGTGTATGTGTAGAGAGAGAGAGAGAGTTTTGTGTGTGTGTGTGTGTGTGTGTGTGTGTGTGGAGGGGACTTTTGCTATTTACTTAGGTGCTAAGAAAGTTCTGGTTGTTGTTGTCCTTGTTGGGTGGGCGTGAGTGGGAGGGTTTTGCACAGTTGGAGTGCGTGCGTGCATGTGTGTGTGTGTGTGTGTGTGTAGGGGTGTGTGTGTTAAACGCGAATGTTTGTTGCGCTATTTGGCGCTGCTCGGCAACAACCGTTGCTCCTCCTGCGGCAGCGACATCAGCTGCTGTTCTTGTTGTACTTGTTGTTGTTGCTGCTGCTGCTGCTGTTGTTGTTGTTGTTGTTGTTGTTGCCTGGCCGTATTTGGCGTTGCCGGATCGGCGTATAAATGCCAGAGCACCACGAGACTAAACACGCACAACAAACATATTGCTAATTCTTATCTCTTGCGACGCTTCGTCTTCTTCTTTGTGGCACTCGGCTGGCCCGTAACGGGCACGCCCACGCCGACGCCGACGCCCAGTGATGTGCTATTTGCAGCAGCAACACTTGCGGCAGAGACGGACGGCGTTGCCATACCCAGCAGATCCGCTGTGCCGCCAGCTGCTTCAGTTGCTGCCACACATGTTGCAGCTGCAGCTGCAGTTGTTGTTGCTGCTGCTCCAGCTGCTGCTGCTGCAGCTGTTGCTGTTGTTGTCGTCTCGACGCTGCTCTCCTCCGCGGAGGATGTGGACGAGGAGGTGGCCGCCTCAATGGCCGCTATCAAATTGATCTTGTGCTCCAACTTTTTGGTCTTCAGCTTGGCATGGGCGGCCGTTGCCAAACTTGTGCCATAGACGATATTGTCATCGGATGTGGTCGCAGGCACAGGACCCTCGCTGTCCGTGGTGGTGCCGGAGTGCGGTGCCGTCGCGCTGCTGCCAAAATGCAGCAAATCATCATCGGGCAGTGTTCTATTACGAGCATCAACATCGGCATCAGCATCAGCATCGACATCATCATCGTCATCATCATCGCCATCATCATCACCATCTGCATCTGCATCAGCATCAGCATCGGCATCATCTTGTTCATTCCTTTGCTTCATAACGAAATCCAATTGCAATTGCTGCTCCTCCGGCAGCTGCTGCTGCTTCTCCAGCTGCGATTCGCACATGCTGATGCTGATCAAAGGACGCAGTTCCTCATCATCAACTGCGGCGGCAGCGGCTGCAGCTGCAGCTGCTGCGGCTTGTTGCTGCTGCTGCTGCTGCTTGTTGCGCTTGTGCTTCTTGCTCAGCTTTTTGGGCTCCTCCTCCATGAAGAGCAGCTCCTCGGAGCCGGATGAGCTGTTGGATTTGTGCATGGCCAGATCTGTGCGCGACTCGCCAGCCTTTGCCTTGGCCTTGGCCGCCAACAGCTGTGCGTATTCATGCTCATAGTGCAGCGAGCCGCACAGCGCCAGGATCAGGTTCTGTTCGGTGAAGCCGCGCGGTGGCGGCGTAATCTTGCGCGGCATGGCCGCATTCTCCAGCAGCGGGCTCTCAAAATTGATGAGGCTCTCGGCTGCTGTGGCAGCTCCAGCTCCAGCTGCTGCTGCTTCTCCATCCGCTGGAGCATCTTCTGGCATCTGGAGCGGCTCGAGCGCGGGCAGCGGCGGCAACGTTTCCAGCGGTCGCAATACGCTCAGCAGGAAGTCATCAAAATTGCTCGCTTGCCGCGCCGGCGGCTCCTGCTGCGGCGTCAACAGACCTGGCAGCAGTTTCTCCGACTTTCTGCCCAGGCTCAAGCTGGGAAAATCATTGCCGGCTGTTGCCGCCTGCTGTTCTACAGTTTTCCAGGCGTTGCCCGGCTGCGTCAGCTCCAGCACCTTCACCTGATATTGGCTGGCACTGTGCTCCTTGGCCTTGGGCATATTCTTGCTGCACTTGCTCTTGGCTTGTTTGGGCGACTTGCTTTCCGGCTCGCTGTGGGTCTGCTCCGGCTTCGGCTCCTGTTGCTGCTCCTGTTCGGTTTCCACATGCAAATCGAGACCCTGCGCACTGGCGCTGCTTACCATAACAGCTGCTATGTCTGCTCTCTTGGCCAGCAGCCCATCCGCATAATCTGTCTCCTGTTCTGGCTCCGGCTTGGCCAGCTTGGCTTGCTGCTCCAGCTTCGGCTCCGGCTTCTGCTTCGTCTCCTGTTTCTGCTCCGGCTTCGGCTCCTGCTTCTGCTTCGGCTCCTGCTTCTGCTCCGGCTCCTGCTTTTTCTCCCGCTCAGCCTCTGGCTTCAGCTCCTCCTCCTGCTGCTGTTCTGCTGCTGCCTGTTTTTTGTCTTTCTTGTTGCTCTGTTGTTGTTGTTGTTGTTGTGGTTGTTGCGTGTTACTTGCTGCTGCTTTGTTAGCCTTGTGCTTGGCCGCTTTGGACTTTTTGTTGCTTTGGGTTTTAAGGGACAGCGTGGAGCTTACTGATGTCTGCAGCTCATCATCGAGCTGCTCATCCTCGCTGATGGCAGTTGTTGTTGTTATTGTTGTTGTTGTTGCAGCTGTTGTTGTTGTTGTTGGCTTCAGCTGGCTGGCAGTTTTGGCAGTTGTTGTCGCCTTGCTGCTGCCCTTCGCCGGCTTGTTGAGATGCGAGAGCTCGGCAAAACGGAGCGCCTGTGCCGCATCCTCGGCCGCAGCCTGAGATTTCAATGATTTCTGTTGCTTCTCCTTTTGCGTGATCACCTCGTCGATCTCCTTGGCTATGACGGGCACAATCAGCTTATTGGCCAGCACCACGGGCGGCTTGTTGTGGTCATCCAGCTGCTGCTGCTGCCCAGGGCTGATGCCTCCGCCCGCTGCCGCAGCGGCCGCTGCCTCCGCCTGCTGCTCGCGCTGCCGCTGCAGCTGCTGCTCGTGGCGTCGCTGCTCGGCGAGCTCATCACAGAATATGGCAACCACGGGCCGGAAGAGCGCCTCATCGCAATTCTCGTGTATGACACAATCCTCCGCCGCCAGCTGCCCGACCACCTCGTCCAGCATATCCGTTTGCAGCTCCCCGCTGATTCCGGCATGCACATCCGTGACGGTGCCCAGCGGATTCACAATTTTCTCAATGCGTGGCGTTGTTGCTGGAGCAGCTGCTGCTTTTGTTGTTGTGCCCGCTGCAGTCACCTCGTAGCTGCATATGTTGGGCAGCACGCTGGCCAGCGCCGAAATGGCGGCCGCGCTGTGCGGCAGCTCCTGGGGCAGGACTCCTGCCGGCGACTCCTCATCTCCGTCCGCCTCGTGCTCCGCGAGCGCATCGTAGTAGCAGGCATTGTCGCCAACTGTGGCTGTTGCCGTGGCAACTGTTGCTGCTGCTGCTGCTGTTGCTGCTGCTGCTGATGTTGCCGGGTCGGTGGCAACATTGGCGACGCGCTGCGCTAGGCCTGACGAGGCAAGAGGGTCGCGGCGAGGCAGGGTGTGGTTCGTTACGAGGCGCACAGAACAGAGAAGAGAAGAGAAGAGAAAACAAATTATGAGAAAAGCGCGTTTGCCATATCGAAAAATGAGCGAAAGAAAGAACAAAAAAAAAAACACAAAAACCTGTGCAACATTTTACTCAATTTACATTTTCCATATGCATGTGTATATATTAAATACATATATATATTATATATATTATATATATATATATATATATGTATATATATATGTATTGTCTCTTGTTCTTGGTAAGCGTTAACGAAACAGAAAAACGAGAAAAAACTTGAAAATGCAAACAGCATAAAAAACGCATCAAGCTAAATGCAAATGATTAAAAAAAAAACATACATATTAATTGTTGTTTTTTTTTCTTTTTTTTTTTTTTAGGTATTTTTTGCTCAGTGAAAAATGTTTGCTGCTAAATTATTGTTGTTTTTTTAAATATATATATATATTTTTTTTTAGTTTTTTTTTTTTTGAGTAAGTTTTTTTTTTGAAGCGTAAAAAGTAAAAGCGCTTTTTGGAAAACAGCAAAAATCATAATTAAATGAAAATAATCAAGAAATGCAATTTATTTTTGTTTTGAATTTTCAACAATTTTCATATATATTTTTATACATATATATAATATTTATATATATATATATAATATTTATATAAATATAGATTTACATATGTTTATTCTTCTTTTCAAGTTAAACGAAATTATATGGCTTTGGCTTTTTATTCAAGAATTCATGTAGTTCTTCATGTGCTCTTTCTTCTCAACTGTTCTCTGTCTCTTTCTCTCCTCCACTCGCTCGCACGCACGCTCTCTCGCTCTCTCTCTCGCTCTTTCACTCTCTCACTGTTTCACTCGCACGCGTCTTTAAATTGTTTTTCTTTTTTTTTTGCTTGCAACTCGACGAAAAAGCCCAATAAAAAAAGGTGAAGCGTTTAAAGCGGGTGTAGTTGAAGAAGAAGCAGACCAAGATGATGTAGAAGAAGAAGAAGAGGAAGAAGAAGAAGCAGCAGCAGGCGCTTAAGAAAGAAGAAGCAGCTCGTCTGCAATCTTATTTTTTTCTCTTTTGCAATTGCAGTTGGAATTTTTAGGGTTTTCTTTTGGGGGGGAAATTAAGAACTTTGGCTTGTATTACGATAGTTCTTGCTGACAGAGAAGAACATGTGACAGGGGGGGGGGGGGGGGGGGCTCCTACAACAACAGAAAGGAAAGTAGACGGAGAAATGGTGCGAGGGTGAATCAGCTATAGAATATGCCAGAGTTATAGAATTGAAGCCAACTGTTGTGTGTGTGTGTGTGCGTGTGTGTGTGCGTGTGTGTGTGTGTGCGTGTGTGTGTGCGTGTGTGTGTTTCTGCTTTGGTTGGGTGGAAAAGTTCACATATTTTCAATTTCATTTCAGCTGTGATAAAAATGTTTTGGTTAGCTTAAATTTAGTTCATATTATTAGAATATTGATTAAAAATGTTTAACAAAAATAAGTATTAATACGAGAACGTTCAAAGGCTGAAAGCTCAGATTGAGACTTAACCAGTGTTGCACAATGCACAAAATACATATAAAAAAAAACAATAAGAAAAGCACCAAATATTTAATTGCTCGATTCTATAAATTCGGTTCCAAGAGATTTTAATTAGCAAACGAGATTTATAATAGTTTATATTTTAAAGTAAATAATATATATTTATTTTTAAAAAATATATTTAGAAAAAAAAAACACACAATTTGTACTGAAAAAACTTGGTTTTTGTTTTGATTCGAATTTGTGTAGAATTTGCGCGAAAGTTACGATTGGAAAGGATTTGAAAATATGATGAAGTGAAAGCCACACACACACACACACACACACACGCACACACAATGAATGAAGAAGTCTTCTGATGTGGAAGTGAATGGTTGAGGGTTTGTTGATGAGCTTTATTTGAATTTGATTTGGGAACAGATCGGGAAAGTAATGCTCGGGAAGTAGTTAGTGCATAATTTCTTGCTAAAATGTTTAAATAACTGCAATTGCCGCCGCGTTACACAACTTAAAAGAAACCAATGCCAATTTCGCGGTGTTTTCTTTTCCACCAAATTCAATTACAAATTTTCCAAAAATTTTCAAAATGATCAAAGCAGAAACAATCGTGAAAACAGGCACCGAATTTAAAGATATTTTTCAAACGACAAACTTAAGAACAGTTTAAAAAGTTATCGAACGACAAACGGTAACGAAATTGTTGAACACTTGATATTAATCGATAAATAGTAGTGTTTAAAAGTGATTACATGTTGAAAACATTTGTTATGCAACACTTAAAATTGTGTCGGAACTAACAAGACATCAAGTTGAATATTGTTATTTTGTTGTAGAACATTATATTTTATATGTTTCGGTTTTTGTTTTTAAACTTTAAAAAGGGGAATTAATTATTAAGTTATTAATTTTGTGGCAATAAAATCAATTTAATAATATGTAATTAAATTATTTAATTATTTTTTTGTTTAAAACCTTTTTCTTATATTTGTCTGTTCTCAAAAGCTTTTCTTTAATTTCTTTTAATTATTCTTTAATTATTTGTGTTCTCAAAAACTTTTTAAAAACAGAATCAATTTGATTTATCACCAACTATCTAATTATTAATTTTGTATAAGACCTTCTATTTATATTTTTGTGTTTATATCGAATATACAAGGTTTAAGTTAGATTCATATTAAAACAAAAAAGAGTGGAATTCCGGACTTGAGTCCGTTATAAAACTTAGGTTTAAAGGAAACTTGAACGAAACACTTTAATGACAATTATTCTAAACATTGAATTGAATCACTTTTGAACACCGTCACAATCAATTCTTCAGATACATTCAGTTTAGGGTATATCTTTAGGGTATTTATTTGTGCATAGAACACGGATTCAATCGAACAATAAATATGGCATTGAATCCGTTTGGGTACTGTTCTTCTATAGGGACTTACCGATCTCGCGACGTGCTGCCGCCGTTGAGGGCGACTCTCGCATGGCATCGGCCAGATCCTCCTTTAGGCGCATATCGCCGTGCCCATAGTCCGAGTCCAAGTGCCCGTGACGAAAGCGATCCATCAGTTTGGGGCTCTGCTCAATGCTGCCTGCAGCAGCAGCAAGAACAGCAACAGCAAAAGCGGCAGCAACAGGGAACAAAGCAAATACAATTTTAGATAAATGCGCAGCGCAATCAAATGACAGCCACTCACTATATGAACCGGATTCGATGAGCACGGGCACACCGGCACGTCCAGTGGTGGCGACAGTGGCACCAAGCCCGGCCGCTGCGCCCAGCGGCATGTTCAATGGACTGGAACGCTCCACGGCGGCAATGATGGCACCGCTGGGCGTCAACGAGGCAGCCGATGCAGCGGCTGCCGTTGACGGCAACGTTGTGCTCGTCGTCTTGGTAACGCCTATTTCCACGGCCTCCGCGTCCACGTGGTTCAAGTTGGAGCTGCAAAGTAAATATGATAATTAGTTGGAGTGTGAATAAAGGCTTGTCTTTTGTTTGCTTAAGAGGAGCAAATAAAACGAAAAGAAAAACTCAAAAGTGGACTTTGTTTTTGCTTATTTTGCTATTTTTTTTTTCGCGTTAAAATTCTCAACAAGTTCAAGCTTGAAGATTGTTTGCAGACTTGACTGACAGACGAGACCAGCCTGTTTAGTCTAGCGCTCATGTCAAGTTGTGATTGGATTATTATAAGATTACATATATGACATGGGAACAATGGACGTAAAGGAGCTGTTCATTTTATAAAGAACGGCCCTTGAAAAAGGACAATGAGTCTTTGTCTGTTCAATATATAATTTGACAAGCCAACAGGTCCACTAGGTGCGAGTATTTATATGTTTATCATTTGGCTGTCGCTGTTCATCCTTTCTTACCCGCTGGGCGTATTATAGTTCTTGAAAACAAACTGCGGCCCCATCCAGAGCCGTCGATGTGGACCGGCGTGCGTGATAATCTCGACCTGGGCCAACCAGCTCTCGGCGCGCTCGTCGGGCTCATCGAACTGATGGGCGCTGTCCATCAGCAGACTGGCATGTCGATCTTTGATCAGCCAATTGTCCAGCGCTAGCGGTGGTATAATTTCTTGAGATCCATCCTTGCGTCGGCCCAGATTCCACTGCGCCTTGGCCTCCACCTCCAACTCAATGGGCGTATCATCACAAATCTTCTCTTTGGCAACATCTGTAAGGCAGAAGAAATCATGTGAGCCCACAAGCTGAAGCTGACTATTGATGCTAACTTACTTGAGGCTAACTTCGTGTCCAGATCGTATTGTATGAGCGCTCCATGGCCGGCCATAACGAAGAGCGAATCGACTGCCTTGCGCTGGACGCGATGCGGCGCCTCACGCGTCGCCGTCGGCGGCTCCAGCAGCCAGGAACGCGACTTGGCGAAGGTGGCGCAAACGCTCAACGGTTTACCGCAATCATCCGATAGCGAGGACAAACGCTGACGCTGATGCGAGCCAACGCCGCCGCCCGAGCTGCTGCTGCTGCCCGACCCGCCGCCTACGCCGCCCAGCGTGGCGCTGCCCTGCGGCGAGCCCAGGACAAACGGCTGACGCAGCTGTGCCAGCGGCTGGACGACAGCGGGTCGTGGAAATGGCGGCAATGTGGGATTATGATACGGCTGCAGCGACTGCACAAAAGTGGTGCTCTCCGAGTGCGATATGGGCGAGCTGGAGCGTCCGTCGGCGCCCAGGCCGGCGCTGCGATGGAAACGCGACAGCTTGTTGACCACATGCAGTGAGGTGTGGGTGCGAACGCCCATGGCGCCGCCGTAGGGCGTTATGGGGAAGACATGGGTGGTGCCGCGGAGCGTGGAGACGGCCGCCCAGCGTGAGTCCAGCGAGAAGGCAATATGTTGCACCTTGGCGCTGGTATCGCCGCGATGCAGCACATACAGATGATGCACTGCAGCCAAACTGGAGCCCACCGGATGCGGCTGTATGCGAAACACATGGAAATCATGGCCACGACGATCCGCTGTGAGCAGCAGCATGCCAGAGCTATCGAATTCCATGGCCACCAGCGCCTCGCTGTGTGCCACAAAGTGGGCAACAATTGGATCCCCGCCCGCATGGGCGCCCGTCAAGCCGAGCGGCGCGCCCGTCGTCGGACTATAATCCTTAATGGGATGCTGCCGATAAACAAGCCATTAGCATACACACACATATCTACATAAGCTACAACCAAGTCTGGCACTCACCTTCACATCTATAATGGTCACCACGCCCGATTGCTTGGCATCGGCGCCGCCCGTCGCCGAGTCGAAGCTGCTGCTCTTGGAGCTGTTGCCGCTGCCGGCACTGGTGCCGGTCAGGCCGGCGGCGACCTGTTCGCCCAGCTCGCGCAGACCCTTGCCAAAGGATTTGGCTGCATTTAGCACCGTGGCCGTATAGCTGGGCACACCCTCGCCATCGCAGCCGCCCCCGCTGCGCTTCGAGTGGAGCAGCTTGTGCTCCGCGTACGCCAGCCAGCGTGGACCGAGCGCTATGGGATTTGGGTTGATGCTGCGGGGTGTTGAGATAAAACGACTCGATTTAATCATTTTCGAAAGTAAAGAGCTTACAACTAGTTTTAACAATTTAATTCAACTTTGAGCAAATCAAGAATATCTAAAAGTTGAGGCACGAGCGACTTTTTGGCTGAGCTTTAAGCACATTTTAACTCAAAGCTCGCATGTGCTTGCAAAGCTGTTGAAAGTTTTAAGAGAACTAGAAATAGTCTCGATTTAAGGGGAGAGCCGTTAAAGCAAGACATTAAGAGGAGCTTTAAGCATTAAGTCAACGCTAAAGAAATTAAAAGGAGCTTTAAGCATTAAGTCAGCATCTAATAATTTAAAAGGAGCTTTAGCCATTAAGTCAACTCTTAATAAATCAAAAGGAACTTTAAGCACAAAGTGTTGACTTAATCACCTAAGAGAAGCTTTAAGCAGATTTAAGATCAAACAATAAAAAGCTTAAGTTCAACTTTTGGCAATTGTCATTGCCCCACAACGAGTCAAAGCTCTAGAATCAAGCTTAAAGCTTACTACAATATACTATATACAATTGGTCCTAGCTCACCCTGGACTGGGAAAGCAGGTGGTTATGGTTAGGCGATCCTCCAGTGTGCGGGCATCAAACACCGCCAGACGCTCGTGGAAGCTAATGACCACAGCCGAACGATTGGCTTGAATGTCCAGTACGGCATTCTTGAATTTGATGGTCTTCACCTGGGCGCCCGTCTTCAGTGAAACGAAATTGACGGCACTGAAGTGCGAGGAGCCGGCCGAGGTATTGCCAATGCCGCCGCCCGCCGAGCCCGATCCGCCGCCAGAGATGTGACCCCCGCTGCCACCGCCGCCGCTAAGTAGACTGCTGGCTGCAGCGCTGCCGCCATCGACGAGGGCCACAAGTGGCCGCTTCTCGGCAAAGGCATCGACTGGCTCATCGGCGCGTCCATTGTCATCGAGTGCGGTGGTCGCCGTTGCCGGCGTGGGTAGAACACGAAGTGCGGTGACAACGCCATGTCGCCAGGATAACACCTCGACGGCTTCACCGTTGGCGGGTATGGCCCACACCTGCACGCCCAGGCCGTAGCCGAGGATGAGCAGCAAGGGGGGTGCCGCATTGCCCTCCAGTTCCCAGTCGTCGCCAAAGCGCGGATCGCTCACATCGGCGCTCGTCTCGAAACGGGCCCAGGTGATGGTATCCTTGGGATCCTGCTGCGGCTGATGCACCAGCGTCACATCATTGATAAACCCAATGGCCGAGTCCAATATGGAGCGATCGCTGACTGCCTGCGGCGGGACAATTGCCGGCATGGCCATGCCGCCGCGCACACCGATACCACCGCCCCCGCCAACGCCAACAGAATGATGATGATGATGATGATGGCTGTGATGGCGGCGTGGCGAGTCCGCGGACATATTATACGAGAGATCGCCTTGCCCTATGCGCAGGAGCGACGGCTGCCGCCCGTCTCAGCTGCTTCGTTCAATCAAAGTGCTTGAGTGAGTGAAGAGAGAGTTTCGTTAAGTTTCCCGCTTGTTTGCTCGCTCGGCTGGAGGATGGGAGATGGAAGATGGGAGATGATGACGGTGACAGGCTGTCTGTCTGTGTGGCAACTGCGCTGCCGCTGCAGCCTCCGTGTATGTGTCTTACTGCCAGCTGTTGTCAACTGCAAAAAAGAAAGCAAAGTAAATTAACAAACTGTAAGCACGCGCGCTCTCTTTCTCTCTCTCGCTCTCTTTCTTAGATTAACGAAACACACACACACACTCGTGCACTCGCTCTCGCTCTTGCTAGCATTTCAATTCCATTCTGTTGCGTATATGGCTTTTGCTTTGTCTCAATCAAATGCTTTTAATCTTTGCACACTCGTGCCAGGCCCTTCTCCTCGCTGCCCCACCCACCGCCTTGCTCTACAGTCCGCACCCCTTTTAAGTTTTATTAGCGCATTACGTGTTTTTTTTTTTTTTTTTTTTTTTTTTTTTTTTTTGGTTTTTCAACTTTTTTTCTTGCCTTGCTTTTTGCACACATATGCGAGGGGGCGACAGCAATTCCATGGGGCGTAAATTAAGTGCAATAAAACCCATACACACGCATACATGCATACAACAACAGTGTGCACCACGCAATTGGGCGCAAATGTATTAGTTTTAATAAACAAAGTAAATAACAAATTGCAAAAGTAAAAAACAATAACATAATAACGGCAATCTAAGCAAATTGGTAAACAAATTTTTGTAACGTGATTTGCGTTTGTTATTACTGTAAAATAAATACATGTGTGTGCACATACACATGTACATGCATGCATGTGCGTGTGTGTGCGTACATTAAGCAAGCGGTAGTTATCAGCATGAGGCCACCACCAGCAGAAGCAACAGCAACAAACGAAACGAAACAAGCACGAAGCAAAAGCAACGGCAACAAAAAAAAAAAAAAAAAAGCACACAACAAAAGCCGAGCTTTCAGTGTGACCAACAAGTGCGAGCGAGATGGAGCGAGCAACAGCTGTCCGCAACGAATGCTATAATAGCGACAGTAACGTTAACCCATATGCGGTCTACATGCATGTTTGTCACACAGACCAGAACCAGAGCTTGTAAAGGTTAAAGGCTTAAGTGCTTGTAAATTGTTTATAATTTGGCAAATTGTTGTTGGCCATTTAGCAGTCAGTTAAGCCGATTTGCTGGCCACTTATCGTTTTGCTAGCTAATCGAGTCGAAAATATGGCTTTTAAGAAAGTTTCGTTGATCTCATTTCATTGTATGGAAATTAATTAAACCCATTTTGATGCACACACATACCACTTAGGTTGTAATTGCCTATCCTATTGGAAGCTTGGCACTGTAGCCTACGCACACATTGAAACAGATTGTTTGATAAGCGAACATGACGAGTATTTGTTATAATGAATAGCATGAGCCAATCCGACAAGCCAAAGATCAACATTTTGAAATAATATATGCACATAACTAATAAATACATTTGAAAAAAATATCATGTATGTAATGTGAGGCTTAAGGGCCCACTAATAAGGCGTATCGAAATTGAGAGCAATTCATTTATATGATAGATGTTTTAATGAATTTGAATACTTGAAGGTTATTTGTACTTTTACTTTTGTATGTTTTTGAAAAATGTGGAAAAACAAACAATTATGCAAATATATATTTACAAACAATTGGGTAATAATATTGCACAAAATAAAAACCATTTTGCGGGCCAGACAACAAAATGTATACACACATTTTGAAAATTTGCATAGGGTATGCAGCGCTCGACATTTAAGAGAAAGACTATTGCGCACAACAATAGGGGTTAAGGTTAAGCCAAAAACTATTTCACAAAGCGCATGACGCACAGCAGAGTTGATTTCAGTTTAAATACATATGTTTGTGTGTATTGGGGCTCTTTGTGTTTTAAGCAGCATAGTGATGGAGAGAATAAGAGAGAGAGACAGAGCACAGGGCGCAAAACGTTGCATTCCTTAATTGACTTGCGCACACGCGCAGCAGTAGCGACAACAATAACAACAGCAACAGCAACAGCAACAGCAACAGAATGCAATGTCACAGCTACACATACAGAGGTATGTATGAATGTGTGTGTGCCTGCAGTCAGCAGCAACAGTTATCCCTTCTCACAGCTCAACAAATCCCCCCACACACCTACAAAGAACGCAACGCATTTCGTCTTTGTTTTGCCATAGGCAGAAAAAAAAAGCAACAACAATCGTCGTTCGTTGTGTGCGAACTTTAGCTGTGTGAGTGAAGAGTGAGGCGTGAGCCCACGTGTGTGTGTGTGTGTGTGTGTGTAAATTGGTGTGTCAATGTTAATAAGCCAGCTAGTCAGCAATCTGAGCCAATGGTTCCGTTCGTTCGTTCGTTTGTTCGATTTCTTTGTGCACGCAAAACCAAATACACACTGATACCGTACTGAAAAAAAGCTCATATGCATGCGTGTGTGTGTGTGTGTGTTATTGTTTATGCTGTTCATTGCCACTTGACAAAATCTACGCAAAGCGCTTTTGGTAGACAAAGCAAATCACAACAAAACTCAATACAAATACAAGTATACTTTTGTGAACAGGTGTTACTATAAATACACATGCACACAGCATTTCAAAAGCGCACGCAATTCTGTGCAAGTAAAAGAGAGAGAGTGAGAGCGAGAGCGAGAGAGAGGGAGAGACACAATGAACAGCCCTGGTAGAACACCATGCAATTTGATGTTCATTATATGAACACTTGTTCCCCAGTGTCTGCTGGAAAGGGGATTCTGAGTGCGTCATTGGCAAAATCGTGAAATAACTAAGGGTCTTAGAATTTGTAATTTTAAAATCAATATACATACATATATGTATGTATATCCGCTCTATACGAAATTGTAGACAGCAAGAAGCACAATGATAAAACAATAATGTTATTAATAATTGTAATTACATTTTCAAAGAAAGACATACAATATTATGTACGCAATTGATTGATAACAAATTCAAATGCAGAACAGTTAGACTTTACGGACAAATTTATTGGATTTAAGAAGCGCACTGTAGCACAGTATAACAGTGTTATGCAGGCCAGTTTGTATAACGCAAATGATGATTGCAGTTAATCGAAGTGAAGAGCGTATTTGTAAACGTCAGTCGATAATTACGTAGAATTTTAATGATAAAGTAATAAGAAAAACCCAAAAGAGAGCAACAAGTGTATTAAGACAAAGCTTTCAATCGATAAACGTATGATTTTGTATGCCAGTAAGTGCATATCAAGACATTTAAGCTACTAATGGAATATTTTCATTGCAAGCGACGTGGTTCAGTCATAGAAACAACTTGGCTCTGGTTAAGAAAAAAACAAAAAACACCCCGCGTAGCAAGTGCTCCACAGATCACGTATGCAGCACACGAACGTAAGCGGCCGGGCACTCTAAAGCTTTGCTAGCCAGACGTGCACTAATACATGCGCATCAATACTAATACTCGTGCACGTAGTGGCAAAATTGAGTGCATTGATATTTACTTTCTTGTATTGCTGTTGCATTTGCACTCACTTGCTCGCACTCACTCAAATATTTGGCAAACATTTTGCAGTCACTTTCAAACATTGCAGGGGGGGGGGGGGGGGGGGGGGGCAAGTGCGAGAGAGAGAGAGAGAGAGAGAGAGAGAGGGAGAAAAAGGCGAGAGATTGAGCCAGCAATTTTTAATAAAAAAAATAAAACAGAAAACAGCATAATTTAATAAAATGCCATCAAGATGGCTGCTGCAGGTTGACATGCGCGATTTGTATAAATAAATTCAAAAATATATAAATAAATAAATTAAAAACAAAAACAAAAAAAAAAAAGAAATGGTGTCATTTGCAATGCATTTGCTGCGACGTTGTTATTCTGCTGCTTCTTCATCAATTGCTTTATTTTTAGTTGCTGCTGCTAATAATTTTGGAACAAAGACCCCAAAGACAGCCCGAAAGCAATTATCAAAATAAGTAAAGCAAGAGCAAGACGCAGAAAGACAAAAACAAAAACAAATACAAACCAGAATGAAGCAACAACAAACCGAACAAACGGTCAGCTGCAACGAGATGTTGTGTTTATGCTTTTTCTCTTTTTGTCGTCTCACTCTCTCTCTCTCTCTCTCTCTCTCTGAACATGAAGAGCATTGCGCACAGTGACACAAATGCGTCAAGAAATGGCAAACCAAATAAACAATTAATTCAAATGTGTAACAGTTAATTAAGCTCGGCATTTCGTTTGACCGCACATCTAAACATTAATGAAAGCAAAATGACGAAAGCCCTGGATGTTCGCTTAACCAAGTTTTTACTGACAATCAATGTCCAAACTAACTGAACACACACTAGTAAAATATTACACATTTTATTTTGGATATTATAATTTGCCTTATCAATCTGCGTAATTTATCACAGAAATTAAAAAAAAAAAAAAAGAACGAACACAAAGTAAACGTGTGTACATATATGCATATGTGCGTACCACTGTGCCAAAGTGTTTCACTATCAGTTCGTTTCATTTGGTTGCGTTTCACTCCGCTGTCCGTTGTCTGTCTGTCTAACGCGCAGTGCTTGCTTCTCTAGTAAATATATATATATATATATATGTGTGTGTGTGTGTGTGCGCGCGTATGTGCATGTGTATCTGTGTGAACGAATTTTTTGAAAGCGAAACGAATTTAGACAAAAAAGAAGAGAAAAAAAAACTTAAACAAAAACAAAAATATTCACTGCCTTTCTTTACAAGAGAATAATGCATAAATGTGACAAATAGATTATGAAATCGTGTAATGCATACACACATACATGTATGTAATTTGCACACGCACACAAGCACACGAATTACTTATATGCCTTCATAGCTTGGCCACACATACACAAAATGCATATATATACATACGTGTGTGTACTTGAAATAGTTTCGAAAAGTGAGCACACAATAAACAAACAAAATGAATTGTATAAAATTTACATTTGTTTTTTTTTCTTTTATATGTGCGTGAGCTTGTTTTGCGCGTCAAAACAACGAAACGCAGTTAAAAGTAGCCAAAAAAACAACCAAAAAGAAAAGAAAAGAAGAGGAAATATAAAGCACAATAGCAACAACAACTTACCACTTGACGCTGCTGCTTCTGCTGGCGTTGTTGTTACGACGTCAAGAAGCAGTTGAGAATTGGTGGACAGCAGCAGCAGCAGCAGCAGTAGCAGCAGCAGCAGCAACAGCAGCAGCAACAACAACGCAAGCTTCTTCGTTCCAGTTCCGGACGTTCCACTGCTCACCTTTTGTTTTTTTCTGCTGCTGTGTTGTTGTGTTTATGACTGAGGATACAGTAGAAGGGGCAGCGCAAGGCGCACAAAAACAAAAATCATATGTTTTCAGCTGTTGTCGTTGTCGTTGCTATTACTCTGCTGCTTTCTTCTTCTTGTTGTTGTTCTCCTTTACTCTGCTTTGTTGTGTGTGTTTGGGCTATTCGTTCTTCTTCTTCTTCTTGTTGTTGCAGTCGGCAGCAGCAGCAACAGTAAATTGATTTTTTTTTGGCTGGCAACAAACAAAAAAAAAACTGCGTCTTGCGTTCTTCTTGGAGCTGCCCACTGCCAGTGACTGTTGACGCCCACACGCACACACACAAACACACGCAAGCGCTGCAGCTGCAAACACAAAGTCGAGCTTAGAAACAAACTTTAAGTGCAAAGCTCCCGCTTACGCTCGAGTTTGTTTGAATTGTGTCAAAAAAAAAAAAAACCAAAAAAAAAACACCAACGAAAATAAAAAGAACGACAACAGCCCGTCGCTGAGGTTGTTGTCGACGTCGTCGTTGCTCTTCTGCTTTGTTGTTGCTGTTGCTATTGCTGCTGCTGCCTCGCTCGCACCCACGCACACACACACACACGCACACAGCAGAGAAGCTGGCTGCGACGGCTGCGTCGTACGTTCTTTGCTTTTCTTTGCTGTTCGTTTTCGTTTTTTGTTTTCTGTTTTCTGTTTTGCGTTCAGCTTTTGCCTCAGCTGCTGCTGCTGGTGCTGTTGTCGTTGTTGTTTCTGCCGTTGCTGCTGCTTCTTGCTAGCACACAAATTAACTGCGACATTAAAATTAAATCTCTGTTGCGATTTTTTCCTTCGCCCGTGTATAACTTTTAACTCTGCTGCTCGCTTTTTATTTGTTTTCCACCAAGTCTTGTTGTTGCTGCTGCTGCTGCCTATTGCGCTTATTAATCGATTTCACTTTTTTTTTCTGCGTCTTTCTACTGCTACTGTTACTGCTGCTGCTGCTGCTGTCCGTGCAGCCAACTACAACACAATATAATAACAAAAAAAAAATAAACTCGAACAATAACAAAAGATATTTGTATATTTCTTGTCGCTCTTTTATATTGGCGTTCTCGTTTTTCGGCCAAATTCTTGCTTGTCTTCGAATTTATTATTTTGTAATATTTTTGCACACTCTCACACAAATTGGTTGTGTTGTGTTGTTGTGGCGCTGTCGTCGTTGCTGTTGCTATTGCTCGAAACGCGTCCGCACATTAGAGCTGCAAGACAATGTCGATACTATCGATTGCTGCGATAGTCTGCTCTTATCAATAGGGTGCAGCGCTGTGGCAACATATCACGCAATTTGAAACTAATTGTTATGTATTACGCGTTTTAGCTTACTTTCGACAGACTTTCTGTGTAATATAAATTTTCAAATATAATTAACTAACTTTTTCAGAGTTTCACTGAACAAAGCCAAAGCACTTTTACCAAAAATATTGGTGGTTATTATATACCCCCTTTTTCATTAGCTTCTATCGATACTTTAAAATTAAAAAATATCGAAAGTATTTTATCGGCTTATGCAGAATTATATATGCATATAAATTCTATATGTATGCCCAGCTTGTATTACCGAAACATAATTGAAGAGAATAAAGCGAGTTGTATATGGAATTAATTATTAGGCACACTTTTTGCAAACGTTGCTTAAAATTGCGCATGTTGGGACACATGCTGCTCGTTTTAAAATTCGATTATGTTTGTATGTGCCGTTCAGTTCCAATATCGACGAGAGCTAGAGGTGAGATGCGTTACTCGATAGTTCGATAGGCCATCTGCATATTCAAAATTCAATTCAAAAACATGCAGATAAAAAGAAAAGTTATAAGTCCAAAAGAAAAAAAATGCTCACATGGATTTAAAATTGAGTGTACTAATAAAAACTGAACAACAATATAGCGCTTGTCAGCTATATATTTTCAAATGCAATTAATTTTTAACTAATAAAATTATACTCAAAAAATATATACTTCGGAACATTTAATTAAATGCAAATAGTAAATGCAAAATGCAAAAATGCAAATTTAATAATTTTCCACGCAAAACAAATTTTCCCAAAAAAAATAAAATACATGTCTGGTTCAAAAATGCTTTATTTCTTATAGCTGTGAATGTTTGACTTAAATTTACGTTGGCAGATCGCACATCAAAATGTTAATTTACGATACCTGCCTCTCTAGCTTGTCGATACTTGACTCATTTTGGCACTGTTAGCACAAATTGTCTAATTTGTAGTTATTTACTTTGTTAGGCGATACAGCTACTTTTTCATCAATCGAAATTTATTGCTTGTGCGGAACTACGTTGATTTGGTAAAAATCTGGACTAATTTGTCGTCTTTACTCACCTAACCACTTACCGTTATATTACAAAATTAGTCAATTTCCTTAACATAATATACAGACGACTCAAAGCCAACGCCGTTAACGCAAAAATGAGTCTCAATAACCGCTACGCACTGTTAACGCTAAATGAAGCCTGTTAGTGGGTTGCGTGATGTTATTTGGGCGCCCTCTACCGGTATTATTTGCATGCCACTGTCAAGCGTTAATAACTGGAAACTTTTGCCGCTATTTGGCGCGATATTTCAAATATTTTGATGACGCTCCGAACAGGAAAAGATGTTTCGAATGTTAAATAAATACAATTTAGGTTATTGAAACTGTTAAATTAACTAGAGGGTTAGTTTTATAGTTTTAGGAAATGTGCATAAGTCGAAATAGTGTAAATATTATTTTTGGCCAGGCCCATATAAATTAGTTATTCGTACGATTCTATTCAAGAATATTGTATTATCTTTTTTTTTTGCGTGCCTTTATATTCATATGTGCTGCAATATCCGGACATTTGATAGATTCATAATAAAATCAAATCACGGCACATATCACGGCTGGCTGTTGTCCTTGTCGAGTAGCCTGTCCCGCTCTGGTGAACTCTGCCATATATCATAACATTGAAGCAGTTAAGCGACCAGCACACCAACACAAGCACACACTCACACACATGCACACACACACATAACAATCGTCACACGCATTTCGGGAGAGTTATTTAAAGCGAGTGCTTGCGTCTCGCTCGCACGAGCATGGAGTAGGCATGCAGGCGCATCATACGGGACATTTTGGCCACGCCCACGTTTGTGTGCTATGTATGTTTATCCGCACGGAACTCGTTTCACCCCTACACACACACACACACACACACGCACACACATGTGATACGAGAGTTGTGGACTCTCGTACACATATACACACACACGGCTGATTTGTAACGGCTGCTCAAGTGTGTGTGCGTGAGAGCACAAGCCCATGTGTGTGTGTGTGTGTGTGTGTGTGTGTGAGTGTGTGTGCATGTGCGGCCGCTTATGTATTGCAGGACTCACAGGAATCGCGCATGCATGTGACAGCGTTCACACACACGGAAATGCTATATACAAAAGCGTGCTTGCATGCGAATGTGTGTGTACTATTATACACACACACATGTGCGAGCTGCCGCTGTTCAACGGGCAAAACTGTTAACTAATTACAAAAAGGCAAATGAAAGTTTCTTCTTTTTGTTTTGCGTCAATTACAAACAGCAACACATGAAAATGTGGTGGGAGGGGGGGGGGGGGGGCGGTGGATTGGATTGTATATCACATATATGTATGTATGCTAAAGAGATTACACATGTATATACATATGTATGTATGTATATGCATCAATTTACAGTTGCTTTTGAAATGCTGCGCGTATTCTTATCAATTCCTTTTTCTGTTCCCGTTCTTCGCGAGCATTGACAGTTACAGATTTGCAAGTCTTCTTCTTCTTCTTCTTCTTCTTCTCTTGCTTTGTTATCCAACAACCACTTCAGTTGGCGCTTTCTTTATTTCTGCACTTTCACTTCTCGACGCGTCGCCTTTTGCCCCCGCCTCCGGCTCACGGCAAATTTAGAACAATTCTTGCATTTTTATTTTCAAATAGAGTTTTTTTTTTACCTTTCAGGCGGCCGCCCAACCTTTTAGAACCCCTTCTATAAAATACTAACATATGTATTTAAATAAAAGGCAAGAGCGCGTGTGAGAAAGAGAGAGAGCGGGAATATTGTGTAATAAAAGGCGTGAGAAAGTCAGTTAAGAAAAAAATAAAAACGCATCGCGTTTGCCGGCAACAAGCACAGCACAGGTCACACATATAGAAACAATTTATATTACACATGATTTTAAGAGTTTGAGACAGAGAGGGAGAGATAAAGCGACACAGATAAATAGAGAGAGAGAGGGAGAGAGAGGAAGAGAAAGCGAGACAAAGAGAGAGAGAGAGAGAGAGATGAAGAGAGAGAGCGAGTGAAAGACAGCGAAAGAGAGAGAGACACTTAGAGAAAGGGAGAGAGAGAGAGAGAGGGAGAGAGAGAGAGAGAGAGAGAGAGAGAGAGAGAGAGAGAGAGAGAGGGAGAGTGAGAGAGAGAGAGGGAAAGAATAAGAGTGGGAGTATGAGTAGAGATCAAGATTATTAGACTGCTTACGCACAGTCACTTACACTTATAAAGGCAACATACTTATGTTTTTCTTTAGGTTTTTTTTTTTGAAATTTCGGATGGTGTTAACAAGATGAAAGGCGCTGTAATTACCAGCCGAGACTAGGAATCTTTAACTCTAGCATGCACAACTGCGGCGCATGGAGAACGCCTTTATGCACTAAGAGTGGGAGTGAGAAAGAGAGGCAGATAGCGAGTGGGTGGAGAGTGGGAGGAGGCGTGTTGGAGCACAAAACATTTGCTGCGTGGTGTAAACTTGACTTTGAAATTTGCCTCATTTGCACTTGCTGCATTTACACCTGGCACGCAATGGCGCCGGCTGCCAGAGTTGCCACCCATTCAAAATGAAAAGCCAGTCCTGCCACCCCCCCTTCCAACTACAAAGCCCCGGCGAGCGCTAGCAATGCGTTGTGACTTTTTATTTATTTTTAGTTCTATTTTTCTTCTCTTTATTTTTATTTTTATTTTTTTTGCAGATTTAGTTAAGCACGAAGCCTGCTTTTGGCACAATGAAAACAAGTGCCGCAAAAATGGAGAAGAAGAGGAAGAAGCTGCCGGCATTCAGAATTATGCGGAGA